TTTGGCGCTGGTTTCTCTTCTTTAAAAGAGACCATATGGGGACTCCTGGGTGGCTCAGTTGGTTGGGCAGCTGCCTTCAGCTCAGGTCATGATGCTGGTGTCCTGGGATCGAGGCCCACATCGGGCTCCTTGCTTGGTGGGGAGCCTGCTTCTCCCTCTGCCTCTGCCTGCCACTCTGTCTGCCTGTGCTCGCTCTCGCTCCTCTCTCTCTGACAAATAAATAAATAAAATCTTTAAAAAAAAAAAAAAAAGGCCATATGGAACTATAGCCTACCCCACTCCAGTATACTCTCCTCTTCACTCGCTTCCATCTGCCGAGATCCTATTTCCAAATAAGATCTCCTTCACAGGCACTGGAGTTTAGGACATCAGCACATCTCCTTGGGGGAGGGGGAGGACATAATTCATAACAAGGGGTAGAAGAATGGATGAGGCTAGTCCCAAACCAGAATGCCTTTGTGCGAACTAGAAAGCAGTTCCACTTTCTTCTGGGCACTTAGTTTTGAAGGACAGAATGTGAGGTGGACTCCAGCGGCCTCTCACCCCTTCAGTGAGTGCTTTGCGCAGTGGACAACCTGTGTAACTGCACATTCAGGCACCTGGGATCAGGTGGGAAGGGAAGACTTCTTTGAGGAGGTGACATGTGAGCAGAGACATACATGAAGTGAGGGAGGGAGCCACTGGGAGATCTTGGGGGGAAGGAGACAGGAGAATGCCTATAGCATTGAGGGACAGCAAGGAGGCCAACGTGGCTGGAAGCTGGGGGATGAGAGTGGGAGGGAGGGAGCAAAGCAGGTCTGTGGTGTGGGACCCTGTGCTTCTTGGTGATGATTCTGCTGAGCGATGGCGGGAGGTGGGGGGAACCACCTCGAAGGTGCTAAGCCGAGCCCAGGAACGGACTCGGTTTTCTGAGCGCCCTCCGGCGGCCGCTTGGGAAACGGGTGGGGCGAGTGCGGAAGCGGAGCACCGCCCCCCCCGCCCCGCCCAAGAGGCCCCTGCTAAGGTCCAGGTGCCCAGTGACGCCGCTGGACCAGGTTGATGCTCCCAGTTTCTCTGCAGGCCCTGGGAGTGTTGGTGGCGGGCAAGCTGGTATGTAGGGTCTCGGGGTGGGGTTGGGGGGAGAGACGGTCCCCCTTCCTAGCTCTGTATCTACTTCCCCACGTGAAAACGCAGTTCTTAACATCCTTGGATCCCCGCGCGCTCTGGGACACCCCACGTGGTTGCGCAAAAAAGCTTGCGGGTGATTTTTCCAGGCTTGGGGTCTTGGTTCCGGAAGGTTGACTCGACGCGGCCCCAGCAGAGGATCAGCGATGACTAGCTATGGAACACTTAACCGTGGGCACTGTTTCAAGCCCTTCACCCAGGATGTTTTGTCTGGTCCTCCCAGAGTCCCCTGTGTGGGGACTGATAGCTCCATCTTGCGGATGAAGAAACTGAGGCCCCGGGGCAGTCGATGGCAGGCTGGGCTGCACCGCAGTCGGTCTGGCCTCAAGCCCATGATCTTGGCCTCTGCACGCCCAGCTTCGGGGGGGGGGGGGGGGGGGGGGCAAGAACAAGGCCTTTCTGAGAGGGCAGTGAGGGAGCCAGAACCACCCCACCTCCCACCCCCCCACACCCCCGGCCACCCCTCACTGGAGACCAAACTGGACACCAAACTTCATAGACCCTTGCTCCCAGATCCCAGAAGCAGCTGGGTGGGTGCGTACGGCGTCCCCTTTTCTGGAGCTGAGGCATCTGGGGGAAAAAAGAGACCTGGGCACAGAGCAGGATTGGAACCCTAGACTGACAGCGTCCAAAGTTCATCCCTAACTTCTGGCTGGCCACTTGCTCCATCTGGTTTTTTTTTTTTTCTTTGATTGTGGGAGAATACACACGACATAAAATTGACCACTTTAACCATTTCTGAGTATACTGCCCAGTGGCATTAAGTAGCTCCCTTCATGTTGTGCAAACACCACCACTGGCTATCCTCGGAACTTGAAACTCTAACCCCACACACCCCATCTCTCTCTCCTCGAGCCCTGCCCATCACCATTCTGCATCCGGGCCTGATGGCTCTGACGCTCTCAGCACGTCCCCAGTGGGATCAGACAGTATCTGTTCTTTTGTGACTGGCTTATTCCACTCGTCACGATGTCCCCAAGGTTTCATGTTGTAGAATGTGCCAGAATTTCTCCACCAGGTTTTGACAGCTGAAGAGGGAGAGAGCTGGGGGGGGAAAACCCACAAAACTGTGAGCCTGTGCCTTGGAAAGAGGGCTCCAGAGGCTGTAAGAGCACAGGGAGACTTGTCACACGGAGACTCCCTGATTCAGAGATCAGTGACCCAGGGACACAAGACAGTAGCCCCAGTAACTGAGAGCTCAAAGCCTGTTTAATGAGTCAGGATCGTCCTGGGTGCGTGGGTGGCTCAGTCCTTTAAGCCTCTGCCCTGGGCTCAGGTCATGATCTCAGGGTCCTGGGGTTGAGCCCGCATCGGGTTCTCCCATCCGCGGGGAGTCTGCTTCTCCCCCTCCCTCTGCCCCTCCCCCCTCTCACTCATGGGCTCTCTCTCTCTCTCAAATAAATAAATAAAATGTTGATAAAAATAAAAATAAAAGGAGGCAGGGCAGATGATAAGGGGACCGATTATCCTGAAATCCAGCTGTCAGTGTATTTAAAGCCCCTGCTCCCCCCACCATGAATCTGTGACATGGTAATAAGAGCTCTTGTATCAAGACACTAATTAGAAAGAGCTAGTGGCGATCTCATCAGTGGCAAATAAACAATCACTGGGAATCTCCAAAACAACCACGATGTGGTGAAAACTGCCACATTCCCCACCATGGCAGTGACACAAGTCCCGGTGATGTCATTGTGCTTTGTTTTGTTCATGGTTGATGGAAACTGTGAAATCTCAGCGAAAGATCCAGATGTCATTTTTCTCTCCATGTCCAAGTTCACGGACCCTCCCGAAACTCAACTGAGGGGTTGCCTCTGAGGGGGAAGGGAGGTGCCCCATGTGAAGATTCTAGAAGAGGACCTTGCTCTTGGCTGTAATAACGTTAGTCACCACTATACTCAGGCCTGTTATTAAATATTTATAATATATATTCTGTTATGCATTATATGTGATCATGTATTGTAATTATATATTATAATTATGTATAAAATGTATTATATTCATATACCTCTTTATGGAATACAGTTGACTCCTTTTTTAAAAAGATTTTATTTATTTATTTGACACAGAGAGAGAGAGCACAAGCAGGGGGGGTGGCAGGCAGAGGGAGAGGGAGAAGCAGGCTCTGGGCTGAGCAGGGAGTCTGATGCGGGGGTTCGATCCCAGGACCCTGAGATCACGAACTGAGCCAGGAAGACAGATGCTTAACCAACTGAGCCACCCAGGCGCCCCCCTCCCCATTATGTACCTTATTGAATTCAGCCAATTAATATTTAACTGAGTGCCTGCTGGGTGCTGGGCCCTGTTCTAGGCACTGGGGTGACAAAAGTAAACAAAACAGACCCAAGCCACTGCCTGTGAGAAGCCGACATTCCTGCAGGGAAAGATTCAAAATAAGTCACACTGAAAATAAATACATGAAAATAAAATCTCAGAAAGAAGTAAAAATAAGAAACATCTCTCTTCTGCTGATGGCGCTAAGTGCTAGGAAGGAAAAAGAAGTAGGAACTGGGGTGGTGGGGGGCGTTGGAGGGGTCAGGGTAGGACTCACAAAGGAGGCACCGTCTGAACAAAGACCCAAAGGAAATGGTCCTGTGTAGCAAGACAGATGGGGAAACTGAGGCTCAGAGAGGCAAGATCTCTTCCCTGAGGTTCTCTTGCAAGCAAGTAGCAAGGCTGGGATTTGACTCAAGGCTTTGTATGCTCTGACTCCCGTGCTGAGAGAGAAAACTCAGCTCCAGACCTGGATTATAAGACCTGATTTTTTTTAAGCATCTGCTAGGGGCCAGGTGTGGCTCTAAGCCCTGAATGATCTCTCTGTGCTTTTTGATTTCACTTCTCTGGGACTCATTTATCTCATCTGTAAAATGGGGATAACGACTGCCACTTCTCAGGGACATTCTAAGAACTCAATGAGCTAATGCTCTTAACTAATAAATCTGCATGTAAGGAGGCATTCAGTGATCCTGAAAGATTAAATCAACAAATATTTACTGAGTCCTTTTGGTGTGTCTGGCACGGTGCTAGCCTGGGGACATGGCAGAAAACCACCCAGTTGGAAATCCCAGTCCTCGGAGGGCTTGTGCTCTTGCTAGGGAGACAGTCACTTAGGCAGAGAAATATGGAATAATCCGAACTTCGGAGAAAAATAAAACAGTGAAAATGGGTGGATGGATGAGGGGGCAGCCTTAAATAGGGAGATCAGGGAGGGATTCTGTGAAGAGGTGACATTGGAGCAGACACGAATGAGGAGAAGGAGTGAGCTGTTCACATCCCTGGGGGAAGAGCCGTTTGGGTGGCAGGAACAGCAGGTGCAAAGGCCCTGAGGTCGGAGGGCTGTTGGAGTGCTTGAGGAGCCCGCAAAGAAGCCAGTGTGGTTAGAGCAGAGTGAGCCACGGGGAAAAGGAGGGAGGTGAGGGCCGAGGGAACAGGCGGATGCGCGTAGGGCCTTGTGGGCCCCATTGAGGGCTTTGGCTTTTACTTTGAGTTCTCAAGAGAGAAGCCAGGATGGGTTGTGAGAAGAGGAATTTCATGAAGTCAGGTAAGTTTTAAAATTATTATTATTATTGCTGCTGCTGCTGCTGCTGCTGTGGTTGTTAGTCGTAGTATTAATATTAGCATTCCCAGGTTAAGAGGAGCGGCAGAGATCGGGATTTTGAACCGGGATTGAAAGCCCCGCTCTCACCCATCTCGAGAAGCCGCCCTGCCACTGTCCACCAGGGGGCGCCAGAGGCCGGGTTCCCGCTTTAGGGAGGGGGGGCGCCTGGTCCCGCCCCCCCGCCCCTCCCTTCCCTCCTCCCTGCTCTGGGCCCCACCCGGCTCAGACGGCTCGGGACAGGACCTGGAGCACAGGCAGCTCCGCGGGCGCCTCCGATCCCCGCGGGACCCCCGTCCAGCCCGCCGCCCGGTGCAGCCGCCTGAGCGCCCATCGGTGAGTGGTCCCCGACCGCCACTGTCGCCTCCCAAAGCCCGCCCGGTCCGCGGAGCCTAGAAGTCTGATTATTCCCCTGCCGCCCCCAAGACTTTCAGTCCCCACCCCCCGCAGTGTGTAGCGGTGTCCCCAGCACCCCGCTCCGTGAAACCTCCTTGTCTGCCTCCAGCTCCTTCCAGCCTGTGACAATGCCCCCTGACCTCCCTGTTCCTTCCCCTCGTGCTCAGTTGCCCCCACTCCCAAGTCGCCTCCCCATCCTCTCAGCCAGAAGAGATCCCCTCCTTGGAGTCTCCCTCTACTGACCTCACCCATCTCTGTCCTATTTGGCCCCTCCTCCCACTCAAGAGCTCCTCTGCTACTTCACCAACGCAATGGCCTGTCCAGCTACCTCTAAAATGTCCCTCGGACCCCTCCCTCCCCAGGACACCACCCAGGCCCGCCCCTCTCTGCCAACATCCCAGTTCCCAGCTCCCGCCTCTCCTTTACCTCTCTGACACTCTTTCCCCTCTACCCCTTTTCCTCTCTATATATTTATTTTCCTTTAAGTATCATTGTGATTTTATGGATTTTAACATTTTTGATATGCAGTTAATTTTGATGCTCAAATCGTCCCATCTTTGGCCAGTGGGAGCTCCTTTAGGCTGGTCCCTATTTCCCAGTAGCATGTCCCTTACATCTTTGCCCACCTTCCCACTACCTGATCAGGCTCATTTGTTCTCCTGCTCCAGCCTTGGAATCAGTCATTTCTACAAGAAGCTCAGTTTTTGTTTGTTTGTTTAATGGAAAATGGTATTTGGAGACTCCAAGCTGACCAAAGCCTGGTTCTGTGAAAGATCAGTAAATTATAAGCATCTGCTTAGATTGATGAAGGAAGAAAAAAAAAAAGAAAAAGACACAAATGACTGATTTCAGGAATGAAAGAGGGAACATCACTACGGATCCTACAGAGAATGAAAAGATAGTAAGGGAATATTGAAAACACAGTCTGGGTGGGGGTGCTTGTTGCTGCTGAGTTGGTAATTCTCTCTTTCTAACACAGACCTACGATAGGAGTACATGTCCCGAGGTCAGGTTGCCTGGTGTCCCAGACTGAGCATCTTCTAACCAAGTGATCTTGGGCAAGTTACTGCTATCTTTGTGAGCCCCCATTGTGCATCAGAAACATGGGGATAATAATAGCCCTACCTTACCACATTGTTAGGAAGATTAAATGAGTTAGAGCAGCATCTGGCATGCGGGCATGCGGTGATCAGAAATCTTCATATTCTTGGGATCACCTGAGGCCCCTCGTGACCTGGGTGCACTCAGCCAACCCTTCAGCCTTATTTCTCACCCCTCCTGTGTCCCGCAACCTGCTCCATGCCGTTCACAGCTCGGGGCCTTGGCACACACCATCCTCTCTGCCCGTCTTGCACGGGATCCTTGCTGTGCCTGGAAGGGAGCTGTTCAAAAGTCAGCTCGGCCAAGGTTTGCTGATCCGTGGTCAGTTTACTGTGTCCTCATCTGGTGCTCATCATCCCTTGGTCTCCCACCATCAGTCTTGCTACTTCCATCATCCCACCGTTCATCTCTTTCTCTTCCTCCAGCTGAAATAATCACCGTCTTCCTCCGGGAACCCTCACCTCCTGCCCTCCCGTGCTCTCTGCTGCCCCACCCCCACCCCCAACCAGTTCTCCCATCCTCCTCCACCCATCCCACCTTCCGGCTCCCTTCCTTCTCCTCCTCCTCCTCCTCTGTGAGGCAGGCCCCCAACAACACCCTGTGTCCCTCTTGCAGGCATATCTCCCCCAACCTGCGCCCATCTCCATCAGCGAGCCCAGTGGGGAGCGTGGAGCCACCATGTTCAGCTGGATGAAGCGGGGCGGTGCCCGGGGCCAGCAGCCCGAGGCCATCCGCACAGTGACCTCGTCCCTCAAGGAGCTCTACCGCACCAAGCTGCTGCCCCTGGAGGAGCACTACCGATTCGGCGCCTTCCACTCGCCGGCCCTGGAGGACGCTGATTTCGACGGCAAGCCCATGGTCCTGGTGGCCGGCCAGTACAGCACGGGCAAGACCAGCTTCATCCAGTACCTGCTGGAGCAGGAGGTGCCAGGCTCCCGCGTGGGGCCCGAGCCCACCACCGACTGCTTCGTGGCGGTCATGCACGGGGACACCGAGGGCACCGTGCCGGGGAACGCCCTTGTGGTTGACCCGGACAAGCCATTCCGCAAGCTCAACCCTTTTGGGAACACCTTCCTCAACAGGTGTGCAGCTTGAGAAGCAGGGGTGCATCTCCCTGCCTCTGCCCCCCGACCCCTGCCTTTGTTTCTTTCTTTCCTGCTCCAATTCCCTCCTCTCCTCCCCCTTCCTGCCTCCTCCAGGGGAGCAGTGAAGCCTGTGGGGCCAGCCTGCCCCAGTCCACCTGCCCTCTACCTGGGCGGCCTTGGGCAGGTGACTTCATGTCTCTGTGCCTCTCTTATCCTCAACTGGAAAATGGGGATAACCATAGTCCCCACTTCCGTATGAGGTGCTTATTAGCACAGCACAAGGCATAGAATAAGTGCTCAGTAAACATCAGCTCTGAGTTAATTAATTAACTTATTTATTTATTTATTTTGGTTATGGTTCTTATTCTCTGTCCCGATCTTTCGAGATTCTTCCCTTCTCTGTACCTGAGTCCCCCACTGTGCCATCCTGGTTTTCCCTTCTTATGGGTCCTCCTCTGCCTCTCCCTGCATTGACCCGCGGCTCTCCCTCTGCCTCAGGTTCATGTGCGCCCAGCTCCCCAATCAGGTCCTGGAGAGCATCAGTATCATCGACACCCCAGGCATCCTGTCAGGCGCCAAACAGAGAGTGAGCCGGGGTGAGTGGGCCCAGACTCCTGGGTCTGAGGGAGGCGGCGGCTGGCTCTCTGCTCGGACATGGGCCTGCGTCAGCTGGCGCAGAGCTGGCTGGGTGGCAGAAGGGAGCCCGTGGAAGGCTGTGCTGCTCCGTGTCTGTGCATGCCAAGGGGACAAGGGGAGGCATGGGCTTGCACACGTGTGAGCAGGCCTCAGCTCTGTGTCTGGGCTGGTCTGGAGGATGAGGCAGGGAGAGATCAAGAGAGACCGGGGGAGACACGCGAAGTCAGAGAGAGATCCCAAGTGTGGGCAGCCTTAGAGAGACCCAGGAGACCCAGGGAGGAGGCAGAGGCCGAGCACGGAGGCCCTGAGCTCTGGGCATGTTCCTGGCTTCACCTCTGGGCCACAGATGGGGCTGAGCAGGGCTTGGGAGGGGGAATCTGGGCACAGGCCAAGACCGGGCCTGGAATTTATAAACAGCTGTGCAGGGGGAGAGGCCGAGGGTGAATTCCTGCGGGGCCTCCGGGGGAGCCGGCCCCCACCCTGCCTAGCCCGCTCAGCATCTGCACCCCGCCCCGCCCCCCCCCACCAGCCACCCTGCAGTGTCTGCCTGGCCAGCATGGGACTGGGGCAAAGGAGTCTGCCTTGTGGGGCAGAGGGGACAGGAGGCTGGGCCACCGGGCAGGGCGGGAGCTTGGAGGGTGATGGTGTCCCTGGCCGCTGCCCAGCGGGCGCGGGTCCCCCTGGGAGACAAGCAGGGGGCAGCTGCAGAAGCAATGGGAGGGCGAGCGGCCAGTCCGAGGGGGAAGACAGGAAGGAGGGGCCGGGAGTTCCTGGGGCGCCACCCTGGAGCTGGGCCTGTGAGAGCGGGAGGGGAGAGCAGTGAGGCAAGCCGGGTAGGGGCCCAAGGTTGTGGGAAGAGGAGAAAGAAGGGAACGGGCTCTCTTTCCCTGGCAGGTTGGGTAGAGGAAGAGGAGGAGAGTCTGTTGGTCTGTCTGTGTGCAAGTGTGTGGGAGGTCGGAGAGAGCACAAGGGTATGTATGGGAGTCCACATCTTGGAGCCTGTGGCTGTGATTGTGTCGGGATGTGTGCACAGGTTTGTGTGCATTGGTGGGAGGCGTGGCTGGCTGCCTCTCTGTGTGTGATTGTAGCAAAGGGGGGCGTCTCTAGCGGGGTTCAAATCTGGGCTCTCCTATTTTTAAACCACGGGCTCTGGGCGAGCCACTCATCTCCTTGTTTCAGTCTCCTCGTTTGTAAATGGGGGGTAATAACAGCATCAGCCTTGTAGGTGGCACGGAGGGTTCACGTTCATTGTCAAATCTGTGAAGCACTTCGGTGTGCGACACACAGTAGGTGCTCTGGGTATGCGGTCGACTGTGTTCCTGTGAGTGTCGTAGCTGTGCACCCGGGGACTCTGCCACGTCTCCCGCTCCCGCGCTGACTCAACCTCCCTCCCTTCCTCCCGCCTTGCATGAGACACACTTTCCAAATTCTGGCTTGTGTGTGTGTGTGTGTGTACGCTGGGGAGGGAAGGAGCTCCTGGTTCCCTGGCCCTTCCTCCCCGCAAGCAGATTCCCCCTTCCCAACCCCATCCAGTCCCCAGGGGCCACAAGGACCCTGCTCCCACCCGGCAGGATGCCCCCAGCTCCCGCTCCTCAGTAGAGCATAGGGACCCATGCAGTCTCCTGCTCCACACCTCCCACCTGTGTGTCTTGGGTCAGTCCCTCAACCTGTCTGTGCCCTAGTTTCCTCATCTGGAAAATGGGGATCACAAAAGCGCCTGTCTCCCGAGGGTGTTTTGAAGATCCAACTCCATGATTCAGGGAGAGAAGGCAGCGATGGCAGCGGAGTCAGCAGCGGATTCCTGTTCTGCCAGGTGGCACTTGTCCCCCAGGTCACCACCGTGTCCCCTGTTCTGAGAAGCCCTCCTTGACCCCCCCAAGGGGGGGTCAAGTGCCCCCACTGGGCTCCTAAATCTCTCTGGGCTCCCCCTCCCTGGCCTGACCACTCTGGGGACGGGTCTGTGTCCTCAGTGCCTGAGCTGAATGAGAGAACAGGACCGGGATGGCTCTGGGGACAGTTCCTGAAGGGAGACCTTCACTGCGTCCCACATGTGTCACAACTAAAACTTGTTGAGCATTTACCGAGTTCCCAGATTGTGTTTCCTTGTTTTAAGGGTTTATTTTTTTATAGATTTTATTTATTTATTTATTTTATTTTTAGAGAGAGCGAGAGGGAGAGAGCAGGGGGAGGGAAAGAATCTCAAGCAGATCCACACTGAGCTCAGAGCCCGATGGGGGGCTCGATCCCGTGACCCTGAGAGCATGACCCGAGAAGCCAAGAGTGGGGTGCTTAACCCACTGAGCCACCCAGGCTGCCCCTGTTTTAGCAGTTTAATTCAGGTATAAACTGACAAGCCTAAAGCTCACCCATTTTATTTATTCTTACTTATTTTATTTTTTAAAATATTTTATTTATTTATTTGACAGAGAGAGACACAGCGAGAGAGGGAACAGAAGCAGGGGGAGTGGGAGAGGGAGAAGCAGGCTCCCTGCTCAGCAGGGAGCCTGATGCAGGGCTCAATCCCAGAATCCTGGCATCATGACCGGAGCCGAAGGCAGAGGCTTAACAACTGAGCCATCCCGGCGCCCCAAGCTCATGCATTTTAAAACAGGCACTGTTTTAGGCTCTTTACAGATAAGCTTTTTTGGTATATTATATATTAGCTCATTTATATTCATTTAATCTCCACAACAGCCCTCCAAGTCACATTCTGTTAGGACCTCCATTTTACAGAAGAGGAAACAAGTTCAGAGAGGTTTCCTACTTGCTTAAGTTCACACAGCTGGGGGGAGTAGAGGGTTGGGCAGAGGTGGAATTCAAACCCGGGACTTCCTGACCGCTAAGTCAGGTCCTCCCCCACACCCCTCTGCCCACCGTGGCTCCTCTCTGCTCTCCTAAGCCTCGCTTGCTGAATACGTGAGTGAGCAGCAAAAGTGAAGGGTGTGAATGAATGAATGAACAAGGAATGAATGAATGAATGAATGAATGAATGAAGCCCCTTGAGACAGGTACTCCATGAAGGCCAGGACTTGTCTCTGTGTCCTCTGTGGTATCTCTGGGTGCCCAGGATAGGGCCTGGCACACAGAAGACTCTCTGTAAATATTATTAAATAAATTCAAAATATTTACCATCTCCTCTGGCGAGAGCGGAACCAGAGCCAATGTGAACTCTTCAGTTGCTGGATTGTGGGGAGATCCAGAAGCCTTAGGGAGGGGCTGGGGTGATGGAGGCACTTGGAAGACCCCCAGGGTAGGGGGAGGTTCATAGGAGCACAGGGAGTCTGTTAAGAAACACTTCAGTATTTTAACAACCCGTACATCCAGACGGGGGCACGCCACTAATACCTGCCTGAGGAATGAATGAAAAGGGGGCAGGTGATGGCCCTCTGTAGCCAGATGTCCTGAGGGCCTGGGGCCAGAGGGATGGGGTAATTTTGGGGCCTGGGTGTGGGGGCGGGTGCAGAGCTGCAGGATACTCTTGGGGCCTTGGCTGTTTCGCCCAGAGAAGGTTTTTGAAAGTTAACAACCTGAACATCCGTACAGTCCACTGTCCATCCAAAGGAATGAATGCTTGCGAAAGGCTGGAGGGTGCAGGGCTGACCTCAGCCCTTCCCACCACTTCCTCTGTGTACCTCCAGGCTATGACTTCCCGGCCGTGCTGCGCTGGTTCGCGGAGCGCGTGGACCTCATCATCCTGCTCTTTGATGCGCACAAGCTGGAGATCTCCGACGAGTTCTCCGAGGCCATCGGCGCCCTGCGGGGCCACGAAGACAAGATCCGCGTGGTGCTCAACAAGGCGGACATGGTGGAGACCCAGCAGCTGATGCGCGTCTACGGGGCGCTCATGTGGGCGCTGGGCAAGGTGGTGGGCACGCCCGAGGTGCTGCGTGTCTACATCGGCTCCTTCTGGTCCCAGCCCCTCCTGGTGCCGGACAACCGGCGCCTCTTTGAGCTGGAGGAGCAGGACCTCTTCCGCGACATCCAGGGCTTACCACGTCACGCTGCCCTGCGCAAGCTCAACGACCTGGTGAAGAGGGCCCGGCTGGTGCGGGTGAGCAGCATATGGGGTGGGGTGTGTATGTGTGTGTGTGTGTGTGTGTGCATGTGTGTGTGGAATGGGGGGGCAAGGCTGGAGCATGGGGGCAGGAACTGCCCTTGCCCTGCCTCCCGTCAATTCTACCTCAGGGCCTTTGCACTTACTGTTCCCGCTTCCTGGAAACCACCTCCTTCCTTGCCTCCCTCCCACTTGGCTCACTCCCCACCTCCTTCAAGTCTTTGCTCAAAAAGCTCCAGAACGTTTCCCTGTCTGCCCTCCCTTCTTATGACTGTAAGTCCCTCCCGGCTCCCATCATGTGAGTCTTGCTTTATCCATCCCCCCCCCCCAAAGATTTATTTATTTGTTTATTTGACAGACAGAGATCACAAGTAGGCAGAGAGGCAGGCAGAGAGAGACGGGGAAGCAGGCTTCCCGCTGAGCAGAGAGCCCGATGTGGGACTCGATCCCAGGACCCTGAGATCATGACCTGAGCCGAAGGCAGAGGCTTTAACCCACTGAGCCACCCAGGTGCCCCTGAGTCTTGCTTTATCCTTGTTGTAGTTTCCTTCATAGCATTCATTGCTGCCCGGCCGGACATTGCCCATTCACTGGGCTTCTGGGTTTACTGCCTGTCTCCACTTGCATGAAAGCGCCACTGAACCAGACGTCAGGATTTGTTCGCTGCTGTATCCCCAGCACCTGGAACAGAGTTTGTGCTCAGTGAATATGTATTGAATGAATGGCGTTGAACCAACACTCTTCATTTGACAAAACCTCCCCTATGCCCAGCCTGTGTTAGGTGGTATTGAGGATACAACAGTGACCAAGGAAATTCAGGGGAGGAGACAGACTCATCCCCAAACAGTGATGACCCAGCATGGGCCGGGCTGGTACTGGGGAGCCCAGGGGGAATTGGGGTGGAGGACTTCTTGGAGGAGATGGCATCTGAGCTGCAAAGTGGAGGAAAGGGAGGATGAGGAGGGGAAGGAATTCTAGACCGTGGGACCAACAAGTGTGTGAGCCGGAGATGAGAGGGTGGCCAGTTCAAGGAAGAGGGAAATTGTCAGTGTTGAACCCTGTGTAGACAGTGCAAGTAACTGAATCTGAGCCCCGTGAGGTGGGAGTCAGGCCACCCAGGGCTGAGGCCTGGAACCTGCATTTTGTCCTGAGAGTACTGGGGAGCCACGGAAGGGTTCGGATTACAGGAGGGATAGGGTCTCACTCAGGCTGCCTTCTGTTAGAGGAATTTAAGGGCTGTTAGACTGAGGCTAGAGACCAAGGAGGAGGCTGGGGACCGAGGAACAGAGAGGAGCCTGGATCCAGAGCAGGGCTTTGGGAGGGGGAGGAGAGCACTGGTTTGAGAGCGATTTTGGAGGCCAAATGGAACATTCACAGGGGAGGCTGCCAGGGTGGAGGTGGGGCAGGAAACCGGGCAGGCAGGGAGGCCTAGAAGGCTATGGGGGGTGGAGGAGCCCGAGGTGTTGGTTTAAGGAGCAGCAAAGAAGGGGTGAGTCAGGGCGCCTACCCCCACCCCAGGAATCCTCCCTGGGAGGGAGCGGCCCAGCAGGGACAGCTCTGAGCCTCGGAATCCACCTTTCCCTCCTCCCCCACCCAGGCTCTGGACTGTCTCTGTGTCTCTGTCTCTCCGTGGGTGTTTCTTCTCATTTCTACCTCTTTCCCAGCGGCCATCTCTTTCCCTCGTATTGGTTCTCTCTTTTGGGCTCTTCCCTTCACCTTCCCTCATTCTCTGTCCCTCTCTCCTCGCTCTCTCCTTCTCTCTCCCTCTCTGTCTTCCTCCGTGTCTCTTTGAGGCCCTACTCTGGTTCGCCCTGGTCCCCCACGGACCCCTGGGCCCCGGCCCCTCGGGGACGCAGACAGCGGCTGGAGCTGGGGCCCAGGGCCGTGAGACAGAGGGGCGGGGCCGGGCCGGACACCTGGTGCCCCCGCCGGGCAGGAGGCGGCTCCGGAAACCCGGACAAACCCCGGAGTCCGGGACCCGCGCCCCGGCCCAGCCCGCCCTCCCACCTTATCTCTTCCTGGCACCTTCCCCTGCTTCCTCTCTGGAAAAGCCGTCAGCGCCCTCCCGCCTTCCCTCTTCTGGGTCCCCGAGGAGCCGCTTTAGGCCCCGCCCCTCACATCAATTGGCCCGCGCTCACAGGCCCCGCCCACCATCCTGACCACGCCCCTGCCCCATTGGCCCCTGACATCTAGGGACCATTCCTTCCCCTCCCTCCCTCGGACCCGTCTGTGGCTCCCCAGTGCCCCTCACACAGGGTCCAACTATGACCAAGCCTCCCTATGCCCCTCCGCTGCTCCGTGTCACCCACCCAATCCCCACGTGTGATTCCGCCACACTTGGTCTGGCCATCGAGCAATAGTTCACACCATTTACCTTCCCATACGCTCTGGACTCTGAGTAGCTACCCCTCGGTGCCTCGGTTTCCCCGTCTGTACGTATAGGGAGTGGATGAGTCACCGGCTCTGCCCTTTGGTTGAAGAGATAGCTGCGAAAAGGGGCGATATCACTGTTTTGCGATACTTGAGGCCAAGATCTTGCGGGTCTGATTCCAAAGAGGCCAAGATGCCCTGAACCTTCTTACCGAGCTTCTCTGAGGCAGGCCCCTGATACTCATTCAACAAACAGTTACCAAGCACCTACAACGTGCTTCTGCACTCTGTTGAGCCCTGGAGTTACAGCAGGGAACAAATGAGTTAATGCTGTTTTGTTTTGTTTTTCTTGTAGAATTACTTTTTACTGGGGAAGTGGGTATTAAACAAATGAATCTATAATATCAGACAGTATTGTATGTGATAAGGATCAGGAAGGAAAATGAAGCAGAGGAAAGGAGATTGGCAAGGGACTGTTTTAAGGAGGTCAGGGAGGGTCTCCCAGTAGAGACCTGAAGGAGGGAGAGTGGAGGTCTGGGGTAGGCCCTACCAGGCAGAGGGAACAGTAAGTGCAAAGGCCCTGAGGCAGAACAGCCTGGAAGGAGGAGCCCAGGGTGGCTGGAGGACGCAGAGTGGTGGAGTTGGGAGGACATGAGGTTTTAGAACCAGCCAGGGACCGCCAAAATTTTTAGCATTCTAAACCTATGATTCATTAAGAGAACTTTCAAACGAATGTTTTCCATTGAACCTTTAAGACCATCTCATGGTAAAGCAGTTAAGCTGGGTTAAACATGCTCCCTCCCAGCCTTGATGGTCCCCACTGCCTCGCAGGGCCTCTTCCCTGGAAGCAGCCCCCATGAGGAGTTTCTTGTGTCTTTATCCAGATATAGTCTATTTTTATTTAAGCGTATGCAGTTAATTACTGAGCTTCCTGCTCAAAAATGCTAATGTTCATGATTCTGCCCTTCTTGTTTGTTTTTTGATAACTTTGGAGATTGGGGCTCAAAGGTTCCCAAGTTCATTGCTGCCCTCCACAAGTATTTCTTGAGTGCTTTCTGTGCATATTTTGCCGGGTACTGGGAACAGAGGGAACAGATAAGGTCCCAGCCCTCCTGGAGCTCCCATTCTGATGAAAGGAGACAGAATAAGTAAGCCACCAGATAAGCAAAATAAGGATGGGTCGCAATAAACATCGTGGAGGCCAGGGAAGTGACAGTAGAAAATAATTGGATGGCGATGGTTGGGGCACCTGCTTCTCATAGGATGGCCTCTGTGAGGAGGTGACATCAAAAAGATGCTGAGGGAACCAGCTTGGGGAAATCAGAGCAGAGTAGTAGGCAGACAGTGGCATGTGCAAAGGCCCTGTGGCAAGAAAAAGATTAGCATGCTGGTACAAAGATGGCAGGTGAGGAAGCTGACATGGGGGCACAGGGAAGGGTGAAGGATATGAGATAAAACACTAGGAGCCAAATCCTGGAGGGCAGCAGTTCTCAAAACTTCCAGTCACAGGAGCAAATGACACTCCTGAAAATGATTGAGCGCCCCAAAGACTGTATAGGTACATGGGTTGAATCTGTCTACATTGGCCATACCAGAAGTTAAAACTGAAGAAAATGTTTAATATTCATCTAGTATTATCGCTGAACCAACAATAACCATGTAACTATTAGTAAGCAGCAGTTAGTGGATTATAAATGTTATGGATGAGTTATGATAGTTCAATTTATATTAATTAATAGGGATAGTAGATATTAGAAGATCAGTTTTTAAATAACCATAAGCCCAGGACATGGGCTAAGTCCCATAGATTTTACGAAAATTATCTCCAAACCAAACCAAAAAAAAAAAAAAAAAAAAATTACAGAGGACGTTGGCCCGGTTTTACATTTTTGCAAGTCCCTTAAATGTCTGGCTTCTGCGAAGACCTCTGCATTTTCACATCTATTCCTGCACTCAGTCAGTCATAGTATCACGAATCCTGTTGCCTTTAAAAACTCCACTGCCCCGCCACCCAGGGAGGAGGAATGGGAGCACAAAAGACACATAGCACCTTCGTATTGTAATTAAAATAGTTTTGACTATGTGAACCCCTGAAAGAGGCTGGGGAGGGGAGGGAATCCCTGGGGTTCCCCGGGCCATGCTTTGAGAATTGCTGCCATAGGGACTTGTCAGCTATGGTCGGAATTTGGTATTTGGATAAAAAGCAGATGGAGACTTTGGAGCAGTGTCTCATGATCTGGTGTTGTTTCCTAAAAATCAGAAAGACCTCTGCAACCGCTGCTGCAACCGCAACCTGGAGAAGGCATGGTAGGGACAAGGGAAGCCAGAAGACCAGTGGGGGGCCTGCTGTGTCTCCCCAGGCGGGCGGTGCTGCCAGGGGCCATGGGGTTGCTGGCCCCCGAGGTGGGAAGCAGTGAAAACAGATGGGGTCCGGGCCCAGATTCTGCTGGGCGTCAAAAGACGGAGCTGTCCAGGAATGTGGACAAGGCAATCCAGGCAGAGGCTCCAGCTGGTATGTAGATGGGGGGTGGGGAGTGGATTGCCCGGGAGAGGAGGGGCCCTTCTGCCCTTGCAGCAGCTTCTCACCTGGAAGGGTCAGAATGCACATTTTCAGGCCCCCCTCCGGGCCATGCAGATCAGGAGCTCTGGGTGCGGGGCCCCGGGTGACGACACTGTCCTCCCGCAGGTCCACGCATACATCATCAGCTACCTGAAGAAGGAGATGCCCTCCGTGTTTGGGAAGGAGAACAAGAAGAAGCAGCTGATCCTCAAGCTGCCCGTCATCTTTGCCAAGATCCAGCTGGAGCATCACATATCCCCTGGCGACTTTCCGGACTGTCAGAAGATGCAGGTGGGAGGTTGTCCCCGGGAGCGAGGGTGGGAGGTGTGGGGGGTGTCAGGGGAGGCGGAAGGGGTCAGCTTCTGTGGGCTTCAGGGTGGGGCCTTGAAAACAGAAGGGATGCAGGGCAGGTTCTGGAAAGCACCTCCTGCAAATGGTTCCCTGAGGGCACGGTTTTGTGAGTTAGGACAAGGGAATGAAGACAGAACCCCAGGGAACCGTGGCTTCAGTAGGATGGAAGTTTGTTTCTCTCCATAAAGTCCTAGAAGGTGGTCTGGTTTGGTGCTTTCCAGAGCCAGGGACAGCGTCCCCTTTTATCTCAGTTCTCCTCCCATACCTGGCCTCCAGTTCCAAGATCCCTGCATGGTACAGAATGGCTGCCAAAACTCCAGCCATTCTGTATGCCTTCCAGCCAGCAAGAAGGGATGAGGGAGAAGGGGCGGAAAGCTACTGGTCCAGTCTCTCTAAGGACACTTCCTAGCATGGTGCTGTCCAATGGTACTTTCTGCCATGATGGAGATGTTCTGTACTCTGACTTCCAGTATGGTAGCCGCTAGCCCCATTAGGTTTTATTTAGTTTAACTCAGTTAAATTTAAATAACCACATGTAGCTCCTCTCCTGGAAAGGACAATTCTAGAGACCCGTGTGTGGCACCGAGCTGGGGGGCTAGATCAAGGTTCTCAGCCTCAGCACTACTGACATTTGGGGTCAGAGCGTTCGTGGTCTGGGGTGTCCTGGGCATTGCGGGATGTTTATATTCTCCTGGCTTCTACGTGCTGGTAGCGTCCCCCAGCTGTGACAATCAAAAATGTCTCTAGATCTTGCCAAGCGTCCACTGGGGAAGGGCAACATCTCCTGTGGTTGGGAAGCACGGGGCTAGATAAACAGCAGCTAATACGATTACACTGATGGTTCTGGAACGCTTTATCCAGATGAATTCATTTAGCCTTTCCTACCCCTCAAGGGAGGGGAGCGCTAATGTTATTGAGCCATTTCATACGTGTGGAAACCGAGGCCCAAAGAGGTGATGTCACTTGCCTGCAGACACACAGCTGCTAGGTGGCAGAACTGGGTTGGGATCTGGGCAGGCAGGCCCTGGAGTCCAGACCCCCCCCAACCTCCACCCCTTTATGTCCAGATCAGCGGGCTTCTCTGCCTTGGTGCTGGAAATCAGTGTGGTCCATGAAACGGATCGGTTTGTGCTGTGAGTCTCCTGGTGCAGGTGACTCAGAGGGGCCACGGGACAGAAGCAGCACGACCACAGATCCAGCTGCATGGCTGCTCTAGAAGAAGTCATCTTCTGTGGGCAGGGTGTCCCCCAAGTTCCTGACAATCTGGCCATCCCAGGCTAAACCTCCAAACTTGGCAGCAAGGCACACTCCCCCGTTTCTGTGAAGTGGGGTGACGGAACTAACGGCAGGAATGGAATTTTCTCGATTTGCACCAGGGTGGGCGTGCCGGCCAGCTGCAGCCTGGGGTGCCACAGAGGCTGGCTAGACCCAGGGCTGTGCTCAGGAAGGGCTGGGACTGATATTGGAATATTGAAATCCTTCTCTACCAGCTGGCAAATCATCAGAGGGCCGCTCATGTCCCCACCGTCCAGTGATTCTGGGGGCGCCTGGCACAGGGGGCGGGCCCCTGGGACCCCGCTGCCCCAGTCTCTTCTGAGCGGTGGGTGTCCGAGTGGGACAGGCGGGTTGTACGGGTTCGCACCTCTCCGTCAACACCTGCCGCCCAAGGATTCTGCCGCCCCCTGACTTCTCAGGGCTCCTCTCTCCTACCCCCTCCCCCACAACAGGAGATGCTGATGGCTCACGACTTCACCAAGTTCCACTCGCTGAAGCCGAAGCTGCTGGAAGCCCTGGACGAGATGCTGACCCACGACATCGCCAAGCTCATGCCACTGCTGCGGCAGGAAGAGCTGGAGAGCACCGAGGCGGGGGTGCAGGGCGGCGCCTTCGAGGGCACCCACATGGGCCCATTCGTGGAGCGGGGGCCCGATGAGGCCCTGGAGGACGGCGAGGAGGGCTCGGACGACGAGGCCGAGTGGGTAGTGACCAAGGACAAATCCAAGTACGATGAGATCTTCTACAACCTGGCACCAGCCGATGGCAAGCTGAGCGGCACCAAAGCCAAGACCTGGATGGTGGGCACCAAGCTCCCCAACTCGGTGCTGGGCCGCATCTGGAAGCTGAGTGACGTCGACCGGGATGGCATGCTGGATGACGAGGAGTTCGCCCTGGCCAGCCACCTCATCGAGGCCAAGCTTGAGGGCCACGGGCTGCCCGCCAACCTGCCCCGCCGCCTCGTGCCGCCCTCCAAGCGGCGCCACAAGGGCTCGGCAGAGTGAGCCAGCGGCCCTCCCTCCCTCCCTCCTGCCCTGCTGTGGCCCCGAACGCCAGCCGGCTGCTCGCACACCCCCGCCCCAGCCTGCACGCTTGCCACCTGCCCACCTTCTCAGTTGTACGGCTGGGCCTCTCTCCACTCCCATCCACCAGGCCATGGGGACCAGGGGAGGGGCAAGGCTTCTCTGCCTGGCCCATGCCCCCTACCCTCACGTACACTTAGGCACATCACGGGGACATTAACACACGCGCACGCGCGTGCGCACACACACACACACACACACACACACACACACACACACACACAGAGGCGTCGATTCAATCATTGTTCATTCAAGTATTTATTGAGCACGTACTACGTTTGGATGGGCAGGGATTGTTCTGGGCCCCGGGCCTTACAGCAGACAGCAACCCAGACACATGCATCCGCCCTCAGGGGGCTGACATCCTCAGGAGAGAGCACCCACACCGTCACACAAACGCACACAGACACACACCCGGCCCTAACCAGTCTGAGCCCCAGTTCTGGGCGGGACCCCTTGCCTCTCTCCGTAGTTCAGTGGCCATCCGGTTGTAATAACCAACACAAAGACCCCCTTCCCCACTTCTTGCCCATCCGGCCCCCAACTCCACCCTGTTCTCAGGCCTTGGGACCTGGGGGCTCAGAGGGGAGACACTACTTCCTCAAAGGGACCCTTCTTCAGCTCCTCTGCCCACTTCTTTAATAAGGATTCTCAGCAGACAGAAAAGCCCCTCGGAGCTTTGCTTTGCCGAGACTGTGTGCCCACTTTGAGGTATTTTTGGCCTCTGCCCACTGGCCCTGGTTTGAAAACCCAGCCTGGCGGCCCCCTCCCCCAGGCTCCCCACCGCTGGTGGCCTAAATTGTAGACTGAGGCACAGCTCCTTCTGCCAACAGCCTTAATTTAAGTAGAGCCCCTACCATATATAAAGGCGCCTGGGCTTTATTTTAGTCCCCTTTCTGGGGATGTGTTGGGGGGAGGGGCTCTTGGTGCTACAGCCCTCCCCTCTCCTCCCTAAAGGGACCCCTCCCGTCCTGCCCTCCCCCCTTCGGTGCCTTCACCATATACTAGTGCTTGACCCTGGTGGGGGACCCCATGGAAAAGATGGGGAAGGGTGACATAGGTGGGGATGATGCCCACCCCCACGATGCTCTCGGGGATTCCCACACCCATCAGCACGCTCCCCCCCCACCCGCCCCGCTCCGACCCCATGCCTAGGAGGGGCCTGTGAACCGAACAGCGAACAGCGTTCCGACAGAGCAAATAAAGCCAAGGCTTCTTTCCACGTGGAAGTCACGCTGTCTTGGGATGGTGGGGGGGGGGCGGGGATCGCTCTCCCCCTGACTCCCCCGGAAGGAGAGCCCTGGGCAGGGCTTGAGGTTGGTTGGGGGGGGGTCTCCCCTCCAAGGTCCCAGGAGTGGGGCGGGGGGTTGGAGGCCATGACTCAATGCTGCAGAGTCTGATGACTCAGGCCTGGGCTGGGGGCCAGACCGACATATTTTCCGAAGAAAAGTCACTCTGGGGCCCTCCCTCCGGGACAGCCCTCTCTCCCGCCTCCCGCCGCGGGGGCCTGGGAACCAAGCCCTGGGGCGTGGGGTTGTGATCGCGCGGGCTCGGGCACATCGTGCCTCCGCCAACACCCCCCGCCCCCGCCCCCGCCCGGCCCGCCAGCGTGCGCCACCTGGGACGCCACCCCTGACACGTAACACCGGAGACAAGCTGACTCCTGGAGGAGAGGTGACGCTGTCCACAGGGACCACCATGTGTGCGCACGCATGCGCGCTCCCTCCCGGGGGCCTCGGCCTGCGGACCCCGCGGGCTGAGCCCCGGACCCACGCCCCGACCACACCCACCGCGGCCGGGGCACGCTGACCTCGCGCTCCTGCCGCCCACGCGCGCTCTCCAGCTTTCGCGGCTCCCAGCGCCCCCTGGCGGGCACTCGGGAGCTGCACGGGCTGCGCGCTGAATCCCGGATTTCAGTCCCGACTCGGGGGCTCCAGGGCGGGTCGCGAGGATCCCGCTGTGCGATCCCCGGCGTGGCCCCCTCCCTCTCTGGGCTTCCTGGATCCCTATGAATGGTTGCCAGAGCCCAAGGGCGTACAAGCTTCCTTCCTTATTTGTAAACAGCAAGGATTAGTTGATTCTAAGATGAAACCTCAGGGGGCGAGCCAGTAACAATAGCTAACATTTGGATACCAGGCACATTCTTTTTTTCTTTTTTTTAAAGACTTATTTATTTGAGAGAGAAAAAGAGAGAGAAAGCACAGAGCTAGAGGGAGAGGGAGAGCCCAATTTGGGGCTTGAACCCAGGACTCCAAGATCATGACCGCAGTGAAGGCAGACACTTAACCGACTGAGCTACTCAGACACCCCCGCCCCAGGTACAATCTTACACTGTTGTGGGTTTATTATTTCGTTTCCTCTCCTGAAAAACTTATAAGGCTGATGTACCGTTATTGTCCCTATTTCACAGATGGGGAAAGTGAGGCACAGCTATGCAGCTTGTCCAGGATTCATGATTCCCAGCCTGCACTGCCAACCCTGTATGTTTCTAACACTTTGCATATGAGATCCTGTGCTCCCAACACGGCCCTCGGAGAGCTCCTGGATTTCCAAGATTCTAGGATCAGAACACTAAAAACACAAACGTTCTGAGACTGGAGCGTGTCTTTCGCCGAATCCGCCACGGACGGCTCTGATTCTCCTTTTTAAGACAACTGGATTAAAAATAATAAATAGTAAGTTAAAGACTAAAAATATACGCAGATTTAAAAAATTTTCCTAGGCGGAGAGGTGTTTGCTCAGGGCTGGAGCCGCCAACCCACGACCCGAGGCCCACGGGAATTTGCATAAGAGGGAGGAGACATTTACCCTTTATTCCCGCCCCTTGGCGGCTCCAGTCACTTTACCCAGATTGCGGTTACCGGAAGTAGGTCACGGGAGGGGGCGGGAAATCTGCGCGCGCAGGCCAGAAACCGGCTTTGGGGCGCCGGCGACCGAATGCTTCCTTTGCCAAGATGGCGCCGGGAGGCAGTGGCCGTGGCAGCACGCCGTGCTTGAAAAGCGAGGCCGATTCCGGCTTCCTGGGCTTCCGTCCCACTTCGGTGGACCCGGCGCTGAGGCGGCGTCGGCGAGGCCCAAGAAACAGGAAACGAGGCTGGCGGCGGCTCGCTCAGGAGCCGCTGGGGCTGGAAGTTGACCAGTTCCTGGAGGACGTGCGGCTGCAGGAGCGCACTAGCGGGTGCGTGGGGCGGGACTTCTGGGATCTGGGCCACGTTCGGCGAGGCGGGGTGCGAGTCCGAGCGTGCTTGGCGGGGACATCCGGGGTGCTGCGCGTGTCTGTATCGGGCACCTCTGCCCTCTGGGGTGAGGTTGGGGGTCTTGGTTGGGTTACCAGATACAGGAATCACAGTGTTAAATTATAATTCAGGCAAGTGACTAGTAATGGTAGCCTAAGTGCGTCCCGTGCACCCACCTTTGTGTAATGCTGAGAATTAAATATTACGATATTTTAAGCGCTGTGATCTGTTAAGTACTGAGTTCTGTGATTTTAAGGGAGAGGCCTTAGCCTGGTAGAATCCTATGGCGGGAAGAAGGTGCTTGAATGTGCATAGTACTAGAGGAAAGCCAGGCCCCCTGAGAGGTTAAGCCTCCCTCCCTAGCAGCTCGCAGCCTCCACATCTCTGGCTGACATTCTCCTTCCTGTCTCCCAGTGGCTTGATATCAGAGGCCCCGGATGAGAAACTCTTCTTCGTGGACACCGGCTCCAAGAAAAAGGGTGAGGAAGAGCTTTCGGTGGTGCCCCCTTGGTCCTTCTGTATAGTCCATCTTAGTCTCTATGATTGACAGGGCTTGGGTGGCAGGCATCCGCCAGGAAAGGTCTTTACTATAAACAAAAGGATCTGGAATGAAAGACTAACAAGTCAGATTTTCTTTTTGGGGTATCCGAGCTCTCAGTCTTCAATCTGGCAGTTCCCATCGAGTCTCCATCTGGCACACGGAAGCCAGCAGGGGTCTGCCTGTGAGTAGATCAGACGCAAATGAGCAGACCTCTCATTAACTTGCAGAAAAGCTGGAAAGGATGAGACCTGTTTTAGTAAGACGTGTTTGAGTATGACTAAGATCTAGTTTAACGAGTAGAAGAAGCTGGTCTTAATTTGGTTTCTTTGATTTGCGGAAAGGCGGGGCCGGGGCACTGCTGAAACAGTGCGGGAGAGGTGAGTTAGGGGTGGTTTGAGTGAATAATAGGTTTTCCAAGGGTAAGTAGAACAGACCAAAAATAGACGATCGCTTTAACCAGGAGCTAGAAAACAAGCTAAGGGTCTTTTTTTTTTTTTTTTTAAAGATTTTATTTATTTGACAGAGAGAGAGATCACAAGTAGGCAGAGAGGCAGGCAGAGAGAGAGAGAGGAGGAAGCAGGCTCCCTGCTGAGCAGAGAGCCCGATGTGGGGCTCGATCCCAGGACCTGGGATCATGACCTGAGCTGAAGGCAGCGGCTTTAACCCACTGAGCCACCCAGGCGCCCAAGCTAAGGGTCTTCTTTAATGAGCAACTGGCAAGCTGCGTGAACAGCAGGTGCCCTTAGGGAGCGAGTGTGGGTTCATTCCAGGGGTCCGTTCCAACGAACGTGAGAGGGTCTCTTTCCGTGAGCAGAAAAGGACCTGCTTTGAGGTGCAGGAGACTAAGCTAGCGAGTGAGAGGTGACGATTGAAGAGGTCACCTTTCACAGAAGGGAGCCGATGGGCGTGTGAACAGCAAGGGGAAGGCAGGACCTGCCCCAGGGAACAGGTAGGGTAATCCCGAAGGCCTGCCTTGGCGAGTATGAAGTCTCTTTGGGAACAGAGGAGAAGCAGTTGATTGATTCTGTTTTTGGCTTAAAAAAAGAAAGACAGAGGCACTGTTCGTGGCCTGTTAGTCTGGCCGTGGCTTACGGGCTCCATTCCGGTGCCATAGCAGCTCCAGGGACACGTGACTGACTGACTCGTGGCTCTCAGTTTCAGGTCCTGGGGACACAGGGAGGAAGAAGAAAGGTAATAGTGACTGCGGGTTTTCCCAGGTGATCACGGTGCCTCATGCTGTTGCAGTCATGACCTTTCCAGGCAACCCCGTGAGTTAGGCGTGTAAGGTTCTCATTTGGAAGTGCAGAAGAGTGAAGTCTTTAGGACGTAGCCTAGGAAACGGAAGGACGTGGGTTCTGTCCTAGTGCGTTTGGTCCTGGAGTTTGCTTTTCACTATCGGGTGAAAGAAGGTGGAAAAGCATCGTGTTGAGAAGCAGCCATTTTGGGTCCCGAGTCCAGCTCCCTGGGCCTCAGTGTCCCTTGGTCGCCTTCTTTCTCATTAGCATTCCTGGTTTTCCTGCCTTGTCTGGAAGCCCTTAGAGGGCAGGGCTGTGGGTCTGACCCTCTCTCTGTTCCCAGCACAGGGCTGTTTCCAGGTGGCCCAGGAAATGGGTGTGGTGGGGGGGGCTGGGCAGAGCTTGGACACTCTGGGCACCTCTTTCCCCAGGTGGAAGCCTGGGGCCAGCCTGGGGCCTCCTTGTCTGCCCTGGGATGCAGGTCTGATGGCTGCCGTGGGACCGAAACGCAGGGGTGGGGAGTTGCTCTTGGGAAGCGAGGAGGCCCGAGCCCTCGACTGCTCTCCTTTCTCGCAGCCCCAGAGCTGAACAAGAGGACCAGAAGCCAGAAAAGATCACTTCTTCTCAAGAAACCCCTTCGTGTTGACCTCATCCTAGAGAACACATCCAAGGTCCCTGCCCCCAAAGAGTGAGTGTCCCCCCAACCCCCACCCCCAGACCCATCTTTCCTGCTGGGCTCTGGCATCTCGTCTCTCGTCCTCTTGTGCAACAGCCACCACTCACTTCTGGGGGGAGGGGGTCAGGTCAGGTGAGCGTCACTTGGAGGAGAGGGATGGGATCGGACAGGGGCTTTGCGGGTGGGTTGGAGGAAATGAGGTGGGGGCCGGGGTGTTGTGGCTGAGGAGACAAGTGCAGGGCCTCGGCCCAGCCAGGAGCTTTGGGGGTGGAGGGGAGGGATGGCTGGGAGCCATCAGGAGGCCCAGCAGGCTAGCTTAGTGATAGCTGTGAGGGAGGGGAGGTTGGATGGGTAATGGGGTGGACTCCTGAGATGGGGGTATGGGAGGAGCGGCTGTGGGGACCAACTGAGGTCAGTTTTGAAATGATGTGTGAGGTTCCTGGGAGACCTGCAGAGGCCCCCGTGTGGTTGGCTCTTGGGTCAGGGGAGAGGCCCCGGGCTGGAGACAGACCTGGCTGGGTGGGCTCTGAGGCTGGGTGGGAGAGGCAGGAGGAGTGCAGAGGAGGTGCACCTTGTACGGGGTGCTTGGCAGAGGAGCTGCTGGGTAGTGGGGGTACAGAGCCCGACTGGGAGGAGCTGGGCCCTTTCTCAGGCCTCTGCTTTATCTACCTGTGCTACTTCTCCACCCAGCGTCCTCGCCCACCAGGTCCCCAATGCCAGGAAGCTCAAGCGGAAGGAGCAGCTATGGGAGAAGCTGGCCAAGCAGGGCGAGCTGCCCCGGGAGGTGCGCAGGGCACAGGCCCGGCTTCTCAACCCTCCTGCTACCAAAGCCAAGCCCGGGCCCCAAGATACCGTCGAGCGGCCTTTCTATGATCTCTGGGCCAAAGACAGTGAGTGCCCCTGCTGTTACTTGTGGGTGGGGACAAGGCTGCCATGCACAGTTTTACAGGTTGTGTGCTGCACAAGCGCACAGGGTCTGAGGGAGGTGTTGGCAGGTAATTTGATGATCCTCAGCAGAGTTCAGTGTCTTGGGCTTCCCTTTCCTGAGGGCTCCCCCCTGCCCCTTAGCCTTGGCTCCCTTCTGCTTTGGGACCTTTCTGTATGCTCTTTTGCCTGGTGTTCAAAACCCGTTGGGGTCTGAGAGTCCGTCCTTCCCTTGTCCATGTTTTGGTGCTGTCTTTGTTGGGAGGAGGGGTGGGAGGGAGCCCTTCAGGCCACACTGGCAAGCCCCCAGCAGCCACCCTGTATTGCCTCCACAGACCCTCTGGAGCGTCCCCTGGCTGGCCAGGATGCCTTTTTCTTGGAGCAGACCAAGAAGAAAGGGGTGAAGGTGAGACTGTGGCACAGGGGGTTCTTGGCGACTGGTCAGAGCAGGGCGGGGGTGGTGGGCGCTACACTGGGGCCCTAGAGCCTCGGTCTCAGCCAGGGGCCAAGACCGCACGTGCAGGGGCCAGGCCTCGAGCTGGTGCCTCCAGAGGAGAGGGCTGCGCGCCGGCGGTCGGTGGGGTGCTTTGGGGGATGAGCAAAGCTTCCCTGAGAAGGGGCCTGTGCCGACAGGTCCTCCCCACGCGGGCTGTGCCGGGACAGGGCCTCTGGGCAGGGAACTAGGGAGTTCAAGGGCGGGGCTGAGTAACAGCTCAGAGGAGGCTGGCCTGGTGGGAAGGAGCTTGGGTTTTGGAGTTTTCCTGTTAGTGATTTTGCGTAGGAGAAGAGTGGGGTCCCGGTAGCAGCTCTGAGGAGTCAGGATCGCGGTGGGTGGACGTGCCAGGGTGGGGGGGGGACCCAAGACGACGCCCTGGGGCAGAAGCACTGCGACAGGTGGGCAGTTGGGTGTGGGGAGTGGGTGGGGGCCGGGGGCTTCTGGGGTTACCCCCAGGCTTCTGGGCGAAGGCCAGAGGGACAACCACTACCACCCCCTATCCCTGCCGTGGTCTTGTTGAGGCACAGGTCTTGATCGGATTCGGATTTGGGCCGGCTAGACTTGGGTTTCTGCATTTGTCACAAGCTTCCGGCAGGGGCCGGGCCGCGCCAGGGGCTTCTGCCAGCCCTCTGTCCGCTGTCCTCTACGCTGAATGACAGAGACCGCCTCACGCCCTCTGCCAGGGCCGCCGCAGGTGTCAGGGTGACGGACGGGGACTGGAGTCAAGGTGCCCTGTAGCCGTGTTTTTACCGGTGGTGCCCACAGCAGGGGTCACGGGGACTTTTCTCAGGAAAGGAAGGCAGGGGCCCCCCCAGCCCCCCGCAGGGAGCTTTCTCATCCTGGGGCTGTGGCTCCCTTGGGTAGCACGGCAGCTGGGTAACAGGTGTCCGTTGTCTTAGACGCCGGACCCACCGGCACCTCCCAGTTGGAAGGCCGTGGGCCCTGCCGAGGCCTCTGCCACCTGCCCCGCCTGGAGAACCGGCTTCAGAGCGTGCGCGGTCTCGAGTTGTGGGGCTGCCAGGCTTCATGAGCCTTGTCCTCCTCCAGCGGCCGCCGCACCTGCACACCAAGCCTTCCCAGGTCCCTGCTGTGGAGGTGACACCAGCTGGAGCCTCCTACAACCCGTCCTTCGAGGACCACCAGGTATGCAGCCTCTCCTCAGCTGTGGCCTGGCCACCTGGTTGGCTTGGCCTCACTGGGCTCCTGTGTCCGCCCGCTGCTGGGGAGTCGGCAGTGACCGAGGCGACCCCCGACTTCCCCTCCTGGGGCTCATGGTCCAGCACGGGAGACAGACCTGTTCCCAGACAGTGATGACCCAGAGGGCGGGGATGAGGGAACCCAGAGGAGTCGCCAAGCGTAGCCTTGGGGGTCAGGGAGGCTTCCTGGAGGAAGAGGATATCAGAGCTTAGACCAGAGGTCTGAGGAGGAGTTTGCTGTGGGGAGCGAGGGGAATGGGTGTTCTCAGGCGTGTGCCAGAGACAGTGTGTACAAAGGCCCGGGGGTGTATGAGACCATACCATGCCACTTTTCGGGGAGTCCACGGGCTTAGATGCAAAAAGCTTCAAAGAAATGCTAGTGGTCTGAGCCGGTGAGATTTCTCCAAGGTCTAGGCTAGGTCGGCAGCAGACACCTGGCTGTGGGAGTCACTGTATATCGGTGATGTCTGTTGAGCACGGGTGTCGTGAGCAGAGGGGACATTCTTTGGCCTCGGGGAGCACAGGTCCCAGAGACAGATCGAGATCATGGAGCAGACGTGGGACGCTCGAGCGAGTGCCCTTCCGCCTTGTTCATGACGAATGGGCCCCTTAGCCGACCCGGAGCAGAGCGAGCAGTTTTCCGCGCCTGAAACACGGTGTGGGCGAAGCCGGCTCCAGGACGCCGAGCGGGAGGAGGCCGGTCACAGGCAGAGGCCTTCGCCATCCCCTGCGGGCTGGCTTGGCTGTGGGGGAAGAACGTAGGAAGATCAGTCCATGTCTCTTGTTCTTCTTTGAACTGTGTCACAGAGAGCGCTCCCACGCCTTAGGACTCGCCCACTCACCGCGTGGGATGTAATGGTTTTTAGCGTCTCTGCAGAGTTGTGTGGCCTGAGTGGCCCTCACCAGTATGTTAGAATGTTTTTATCCCCTCAAAAGAAATTTGGAACCCATCAGCCATCACCGCCCCCTGCCCCATCTTCCCTCAGCGGCCCCCACTGTCGTTCCTGTCTTTACACGTTTGCCTGTTCTGCGTTTTGCGTGAACAAAACTACCGAGTGCAGAGATCAGGGATCGGGCCGTCCTCTAAGAGAACTGGCAGAGCAGACGGGCGCGGGAGGAGGGCACACCCCCTGACAGCGCAGGGGTGGGGTGGGGTGGACGAGGGCCTGGGGCACAGTGGTGGGAGGCTGGGTTTGTCTGTAAGTCCCTGGGTCCTCAGCCCTGACCCCTTCCCCTCCCAGACCCTGCTGCGGGCGGCCCACGAGGTTGAACTGCAGCGGGAGAAGGAGGCGGAGAAGCTGGAAAGGCGGCTGGCGCTGCCCGCCTCGGAGCAGCCTGCCACCCAGGTGAGCCCACACCTGCCCGCCCTGCCCTGCCCCTGCCTTCCCTGTGCTCCCCCCACCCTGTCCCTGACACGCCGCTACCCCCCCACCCCAGGAGTCTGCGTTCCAGGAGCTGTGCCAGGGGCTGCTGGAGGAGTCAGACGGGGAGGGGGAGCCAGGTGAGGGCCAGGACAGGGGGCCCGAGACTGGAAGGGAGCCGGCCGAAGGAGTGGAGGCCTCCCCGGCACCCACACGCCTGGCTGCGGCGGAGAAGAAGACCGAGCAACAGCGGCGGCGGGAGAAGGCTGCGCGGAAGATGGTGAGCGCTGTGGGCTCTAGCCTGCTGCTTCTCCCGCCGCATGTGGGCTCAGGATGTGACGGGGCATGTTCTAGATCGAGTCCCTGCTGCCCTGATGCTTATATTGGGGGTGTGGGATTTACAGACCACCAACGGGTAAGGAAGGTGGTTTCGGGAAACAGCTGGGAAGTCGGGGGAGGTGGCATTGGAGGGGCTTCAGCAGGGGAGAGGTCTCCCAGGGGACGGTGCTCAGCCGGGCCCCTGACTCCACCCGGCCCTGCTGCAGCGGGTACAGCAGGCCGAGGTGCGGGCGGCCCGGCTCCGGCACCAGGAGCTCTTCAGGCTACGCGGGATCAAGGCCCAGGTGGCGCGGCGGCTGGCAGAGCTGGCGCGGCGGCGGGAGCGGCGGCGGGCACAGCGGCTGGCCGAGGCGGACAGACCCCGCAGGCTGGGGCGGCTCAAGTGAGGCCTGGCTTGGGGTGGGGAGCGGGAATCTGGGGTCCCGGTTCCCTCCTGGCCTCCTCCTAGAAGATCATTTCCCCACAGAGCCCCCTGTTCTGGAGGGCCTGCTGCCCTGGGCGAGGCCAACCCCCTGAACACCCCTGCCCATTTTCTCTAGGTACCAGGCCCCCGACATCGACGTGCAGCTCAGCTCGGAGCTGTCTGACTCGCTCAGGACCCTGAAGGTATTTGCCCGCCCGGGGTGTTGTGCTGTAGGGGAGACCCCGTGCCCAGTGATGATACCCATCCTTGCTCCCCATGCCCGCAGGGGCTATGGGCGACATCACGGCTGCCCCAGGGTTGGGCCGGTTGGGCTGACGCCTGGGGGCTGAGGGCACGGGGTCTTCGGGGCCCACTGGTATGATTGGAGCCTATGGCCTGTGGAAGGCCCTCCCAGCCGGGTCCCAAAGCAGCTGCTGGGGTCCCGGCCCCACCTTTCTCCCCTTCAGTGCTGGGCAGGTCTCCTTAAAGCTCAGCACGGTCTTGTCCTGCACGCACTTAGAACCTGCTCGGTGGCCTTGGGCGCCTCGCCACGGCCGTGGACCCCGCGGTTTGGGCCCGGCTCGGGGCTGCCGCCAACTCTACTTCATCCGGGGGCCGCGCGCCCTGTTGGTCTGAGCCCGGCCCGTGCCGCTGCTGCCGCATGCCCGGCACGCTCTCCGCCTCTTCAGCCTCCATCCCACTGGTGCTGCGGACCTAGCCCAGGGGTCCCTCCACATCACCCCACCAGCCCAGGGCCAGGGTGGGCCCCCGCAACTGAGGCCTCCCTCTCTGTGTCCCACAGCCGGAAGGCAACATTCTCCGTGACCGTTTCAAGAGCTTCCAGAAGAGAAACATGATCGAGCCTCGGGAGAGAGCCAAGTGAGGGTCCCCAGGGCTGCTGCGGGGAGGGAGGGCTTCGGGAAACCTCCCGCCCCTGCGCTTGGTGGGCTTGCTGGCCACTGACCGCTCTCTTCCCTCCTGCAGGTTCAAGCGCAAGTACAAAGTGAAGCTCGTGGAGAAGCGCGCGTTCCGCGAGATCCAGTAAGTGGCGCCCCCTTCCCTGCCCGGCCGACGGGGCTCCGTGCTGCGGCAGGAACCCCTCTGAGCTGCCGAGGAGAAGGGGCCCTTGTCTGCCCTCCTTCCTGGTGGGGGCCCTCGTCTGCCCTCCTTCCTGGTGGGGGCCCTTGTCTGCCCTCCTTCCTGGTAGGGGCCGTCTGCCCTCCTTCCTGGTGGGGCCCCGTCTGACCTGGAGGGGGCACCACGCTAGATGCCTTTGAGCCCAGAGTCCGGGTGGGGGAGGCTCCCCAGAGGGAAATGGAAGGGCACGAACCGGAGTTGGCCCGTGTCGAGGGGGTGAGGCCATGAGGCCCTTCCTCCGCCCCCGCACCCTCAGCCCCCTCTCCTCTGTCCCCAGGTTGTAGACACCACGGATGCCGGAGCCCCTACCCCACAATAAATCACCGCTGGCTGACCCCTCGGGCTCACATGTGACTTGTCCCCCTCCTGGGGGCAGCGTCTCTCTCTGTCCCTCCCTAGCACTTTGGGGGTGCTGGTACCAGAACATTCATCTCCACCAGAGCCTGGCGCGGCAAGATCTTCGGGGAAGGGAGCGGAAGAGATGGGGCTCGCCGGCTGGTGGGGAGCCGAGAAGGGGGAGTGGAGATCACAGCTGGGGGGTGAGGGAAATGGCCCACGTCTCTGCCCGGGTGACTGAGAGGCAGGTCTCGGTTGCCGTCCTGCTGCACAGGCGACGGGCGGTTGTGATGGTCGCCGAGCACCTGCTGTCCTTTTTTTAAAGATTTTATTTATTCATTAGAGAGAGGGTGAGCACAGGCAGGGGGAGAAGCAGGCTGTCCGCTAAGCAAGGAGCCCCATCTGGGACTCGATCCCAGGACCCCGGGGTCATGACCTGAGCCAAAGACCAACGCTTCAGCTTCAGACCAGGTGCCCCAAACCTACTGTACTTTCAAGCGGAGGATTCCCCCCCACCAAGAGGGCGCCAGTCCTCTCTGTCCGAAAGGTGATGGACCTGAGGCACATCCGAAGACACTGATCCCTCCTCCCTACACCAATTTTAAAAGGATTTTTTTTTTAAAGATTTTATTTATTTATTTGACAGAGATCACAAGTAGGCAGAGAGAGAGGAGGAAGCAGGCTCCCCACTGAGCAGAGAGCCCGATGTGGGGCTCAATCCCAGGACCTTGAGATCATGACCTGAGCCGAACAGAGGCTCAACCCACTGGGCCACCCAGGCGCCCCTAAAAAGGAGTTTTTTTAAAAACCTTTTTTCTCCAAGTAACCAAGGCCCACATTCCCGCTGTGTCACTGATACCGAGTGCTGAGGTACCGCAGCACCGTGTGTGACCCGGAGCCTTAGTGTTCCAGCCCAGCCCGTCCCTCTTCTGCGGGAGTAACTGTCACTGCAGTTCAGGCGCAACGATTCTGGTATGTTCCGTGTGCAAGTCCATTGAACTCCATACATGTACATGGAAAAATCGAACAAACGGCTCTTTAACCTTTCTGTGTCTTGGAAACGATCACACTGGTAGTGGGTCTGTATTCGGCTTTTTTCAGCGTGTCTGGGAGAAGTGTGTGTGTGCAGGGCGCTCCTTTATCTTACTTCCTTACAGATGCTTGGAACTGGAGGGTGTGAGTGTGTCGCAACATGACTCTGGCTCCCACTGGCCCATCTAAGGAAACGGGAAGGAGGGTCGTACTGGGCCGTGCCACATGTATCCGGAGGACGGGAACCTGGGAGCGGATGTCTGGGCTGTGAGGGCAACTACGTGGCAGAGCTCATTTGATGGGTTCCGTGAAATCCTCTCGTACGACGGGCCGGTTTTTACCCACCAGCAACGCAGCAGCCCACTTGTTGGCTCGGAGCTCTCCGGCTGTAGGATCTCCCAGTTCTCATTTTACCCCATCTGGCCGTCCATGAGGTTGAGTCTGTGTGTCCGTATCCCTCACCGGAACTCCCTGCTGGCGCGAAACTTCGGACCATTTTCCTCCTAGACCGACCTTGTTGAGCGGAGGAGCTCCATTTGTTACAGCTCTTGAAGTCCGTCCTGCACGTTCCAGATGTTTCCCCCAGGCCGTTGCCTTTTTACTTTGCATCCGGTATCACCTGTCAGAAGACAAGTGTGTTCTGTTAGCCTTTCCCTTTTTTTTGTTGTGGCCCTTGGAGACGTTTCACGGGGACACAATGTTTATAAAAGTCGAGCAAGCAGTTTATGAAAGCAGTGGGTGGGAGGGAGAGACCAAAGTCGGGGCCCCCACCTCCCCACTTCCTTCCGCATCTTGGGGAACGTTACGGCTTCAAGGAGCGGCTCCCGCTCCGCATTCCCTCATAAAAATAAATGTGCAGATGGGAGAGTGGCTGTCCGCGCACCTGGCTGGGGAGGGCGCAGGGGACGGTCCGCTGCGGTGAGCACGAGAGCCACTCCGCGAAGGGAGCCTTAAGCCTCAGCCTCTGACCCAGAAACCCATTCTGGGGAGGAAACTCTTAATGGCCAGAGACGGCCACCAGCTCCTGTGTCAAATAGAGGGGACTTGGGGGTGGGCTGGTCGTCGCCGTTCAAGGACGCGCCCCACAGCCCGGACTCCAGGCAGAGCCCTCCGGAAGCCCGCGCCGCTCCATCGCCTGGGGAAATGCGTCTGTTCCCCTGCGGACGGAACACGGGTCTGTGGCAAAGATACATGGGGGCGGTTTTCTGCACGTAAATTACACTGCGCATCTGAATTTTACATCAAAGGCGGAAAAAGTGCTGAACTCTGAGCTCCTGAAGATTTGCAAGCTGAAGGCCACGCTCAGGTCTGCAACTTCCTTTGAAACACATAGAACAATAGGGGGGTTAAGTGGACAGACGCCTGGATGCCTCATAAAACAAAGACAGTGACATGTTTTGAAAAGGGCATAGTTGGGCGGGGAGGGGGGCACCTCAGCGCGATGCTGGAGCTCAAGTGTCAGGGCCACGGATTCGCCCCCGGGGTTCCTTCCACGGCCCTGCACCTGCATTCAGTCTGCAACATCCTTTTCCCTGCAGCGGGTTCCCCCAAATGGTGAAAGCTCCAGGCACTGCAAAATCTCGATCTGCCTCTGACTGTCCCGACACCAACAAATGGGAGAATGATCAGGAACCTGGGTGTGGGAGCTGGTTTCCTGGCTGTGTGGCCTTGTGAAGGTTACTCAACCTCTCTGTGCCTCCAAGGCCCCATCTGCAAAACGGGCATAATGATACCTCACTGTGCCTTATGACGTGGATTAAGGGAGTGCGCCCGGGGAAAGTTCGGAGCACAGAGTTAGCGCTCCCTGAGTGTTTGCTCTTATAACAATGTTAGGGGAAAAACAACAAAAAAATTTTTGTTTAAAGTGGAAACTTGCAGCCCGTGCCAAAGACTCCTCACAAATGCTCTTACCTTTTGACCGACTAATTGCTCTCTCGGGAAGGGCCCTAAGGAAGCAGTCGGAAGCTGGGGGAGAGGCACCGTGTGCAGGGATGTTGGGGGGTAGAGTGCGGTGCAGAATGGAAGGAAGCAGCTCATGGCTCCGGGCGGGCCCCGCCACAGACCGAGGGGACCGAGGGGGCAGATGCATGGGTGATAAGCGGCCTCTGTGTCTGTGCAGATGCTTTGTGCAAAGAAGCCAACAGGATCCAAACCCCCTGGGTCTCTCGGGTGGGGGGGATTCCGGGGGATACTTTCCCCTTCTATTTCCAGCCTCCCCGTATTTTCCCATAATGGGCAAAGCCTTTTTAAAAGCGGGAATTCAGAAGCAGACAGAGAGCCCCTGATGCAAATAAAGGTGTCCGCTGTTGCACTGTTTGGGAAATTAAAAACAGAAATAGCCCAGACATGCAAGGGCAGGACACGGGTATTTACTAGTGGGATGTCTACACTCAGGCCATTGCTCTGCCATTCATAAAGAGTCTGCTTTCAGACGAAAGTGCAACAAGCTGGGGAAACACTTAGGATCTGTCTCCCAGAACTGTTCAAGGGGCCAAGAGCACCGCAGGACCTTGACCAATTTGTAGCTGTCTGGAAACGCGTGCGCGGAGGAGGACGCTGGAGGCTGTGCCCCCGCAGGTGGATCGTGGGGGGTTCTTCCTCCTTCTGTCATGTTCCTGCACCTCCTCAGCTTCCTCCCGTGTTGCCCACAGTGGAGGCACCAGGTGGGCCTGCCTGACCTCCTCCCCTGGCCGCAGAGCAAATGCCAGCAGGTGGACCCCTCCAGAGACTCGGGGTGGCAGAAGACACCCCAGGGTCACGACTGGGGCTGGTCGTGTTTGCACCCAGTGCTCCTGGCAGTGGTGGCCTCGGGGTTCCGTGCTGTCATCCTGGGGGTTATTCCTGAGGGCCCCGCCCAGGCTCTGATCCCTGTCCCTCACAACCATGTGTTGCTCTCACACTCAGGGAAATCATGTTTAAAATACTAAGAGATTTCTAAGGTCTATGTGAGTGTAAACCACTGTGAAGAGCTGACATTTTTGCTGTGTTCATTTGCCAGCAAACGAGATGGTGGCCCAGAGAGGGCAAGAGGTTTACCCAAGGCCACACAGACTTGCTGAGAGTCTGAGTCCAGCCAGGACTTTCTCCATTCCCCTTGGAGAGCCCAGCCTTTCATGAATGAGGCAGCAGCACAGACAGCTGAGTATGCCTGCACCACTCTGTGCCTTACCTTTTCTACATGTCCACAGCATCTGGGGCGTTGGGTGCAGAGAATGTCGAGTGATGATTGAAAGTCCCGTGATCTGAACTCTAGAATGACAATCACAGGAGCCCCCCAGGTCAGAAACCTGGCACCATGATGGATTCCTCCCTTTCCTTCAACAGCAATAATACCATTTTAAAAAGTCCCCAGCCCCATTCAGCCACCTAAGTACTAAGCCAAAATACGGAGTCTTCTCCTGGTTGCTGGCATTTGAGCAGAGACTGGAATAAAATGGGGGGGGGGCAAGCCTTGTGGATATCGCAGGGAAAAATTTTCAGGGGGCTGGAACAGTTAGTGCAAAGGCCCTGAGGTTGGGAACTTCACGAAGGGCGAGGGAGACTCATCTACCTGCAACCAAGTGAACCGAGGAGAGAGCGTGGAAGGTGAGCTCCCTAATGCACCCTGGAGCCAGATTGTGCTGGGCCATAGGGACCACGTGAGAAGAGTCCCTCTGACTGTGGGTGGGGAACAGATTCTAGGGGGCCAGAGATGTAGCAGGGAACCCAGTGAGAAAGCAACTGCTGTAGTCCAGGTGGGAGACGCTGCTGCCAGACCGGTGTGGAATCGGTGAGGTAGAAGTTGCTAGAATCCAGATAGGTTTTGAAGGTGGAGTGCACAGATGGTGTGGGTGCGAAGGCCAGAGGGAGATCAAGGATAACCAAGGATATTCCAGGCAGAACTTTTGGATGGATGGAGGTGCCTTGCAGAGGTGGGAGGCAGAGGGGTCGGGGGGCTGGATTGCTGAGACCTGCCCCGGGGGATCCAG